GCACTATCCAGACTTTCTGCTATTTTATACTGTTACTTAAAGGAGGGTTTTTATCTTCTGGCAGGAATCTAAAAGTTCCTCGTTTGGTTCAGCTTGTACCTTGGGCCTCGTTCTCCTGCCCCGACCTCTGCAGGCACTAAGAGCCCTCCGAGCGCTCCCTGGACTTCTGAACTGGACCTGTATCATGACCTGAGGGAGGGCAAGAAATAGAAATAGAAATTTCATATAGAAATATGAAATCAGCATCTAGAAATGATACAGAAATATCAAAAGCAGCAGTCTAGGTTCATCAAACTTAAGAGAGGTGGCTTTAGCTTCAAGGTATCTCAGCCTAAAAGAGCTGCTCCCTTCCTCCCAAGCTAAGGAACACTTGGTTCTTCGTTCCTCTGCCCTACGCTTTCTAATATAAATGGGTTATACATTAATGAACGTACCGGTCCCAGCAGAGCTTTGACTAAACCCAAAACGTCCTCCTGCCCACGGCCGGTGCCATCAACCTGCTGGGCTGGGCTGTGTTTACCCAGGTGTTTGTCTTGTGGAGAATCTCTGCAATGCGAAACATGCGGTGTGCGGAGCAGGGAGTGTTTCTTGCAAATATCTAGCAGGTTGTGCCTGCAACCCGTGCCTCTTAACTAACATAACGTACTACATTGGAGTGCCCTGGGCCTTGCGTACCCCCAAACTACACATCCATSCTGCTCACATTGCATCTTCCCAACGTGTGGACATAGCTAAAGCTTCAGCCTTTTCCAAAGCCTCTGTGAAGACACTGCCAATAGAGTACATAGGAAGGGCTTGACTTGACCCAGGGCCACTAGACCCTTGGAGAAGTGTCTGGTGGATATTTTCTCCTTCCCACAGCAGCAGGGTGATACAGACTGTGTGACCATCATTGTTGAGGCCTGCTCTGAATGTTGGAAATGGGATTTTTCGGTCCTAAGGTGGGACAAGACCYTTCCTTGCTTGTCTTTATGGGGCAGCAAGAATACATTCACACATTTCCTTGGCTGTCAGCCCTTTTGCTCTGGATATGGGTTTCCCTGGCTGCTTTCTAATTAACCCAAATAAAGGGGTTTTTTAATGTGTTCCTGCTTCTGAAAGAGACCCTACAGAGCTGAGTTAGAGGGCTGGTTTCATGGCTGATGCTGATAGGCACAGGTGACCTGKGTTGAATTCTCAGATGTGCTGCATGTTTGCAAGCATTTATATTGAAATTGAAATGAAGTTGTGTGAATCTAGCTATGAATTTAGGTGCCAGGTGTAGGGGAATGAGCCTGGACCTCAGTGCCTCATCAACACTGCAACACTGTTTTGTTCCTGTGTGCTGCGGGAATGGAGCCTCTTCTCTGGGCCGGGTGCTCCGATGCTACAACGAGGTGGGTTGAGATGGATTCTAGAAGGTGCAGGAGACTCCCAGGAGCCAGGAGGACTCTCTGGAGATGGAAAGGAGGACAAGCCAAGTCCTCCTCTCAAGTCCAAGGACAAGTGAAGGACCTCATGGTGCCTGAGCTCCCTTGGCTCTTGAGGGTATGAGAAGACAGATTGGCATGAGGGTCTATCAAACAGCCTGACTCGTTCCCCTATAGCCAGCAGCCCTAGCAGGCGGTGCTTGGTGCTTGATATGGGTGGCAGAATGAAGATATTCCCAACCACCTTCTTTTGCTTGAGGTGATGGGGACATATGAGACCGTGTTGCGTTTTGTCAGAGTCCATGTGGTCCAAACCAGCCACAAAAATGCTTAAAGCAAAAGGCTTCCAGCCTTCTCTGGTCCCATTTTTGTGACACATGGGTTAGGCCTGTGGTACCAGTACTGCAGTTCTAGATAGGAAGAGACATTTCGGGACTAGCTCATAGGCATTTTGGAAGCCCTGGCATGCCAGGCAGATTTCAGCAGGATGACCAGTGGAAACAAAGATGAGATCTTCTGGAAATGCTCTGGGCCATACTAGGAAAAATACAGCATTATGCCTATACAACGTGTTCATTTTGAAGACTCTAGAGAAGGTTAGGGACATCTGTGCAGTCTTATACTTGACAAAAATTGAAAGATTTGGAGATGAAGCTTTCTCTTGGGCATTAGCCCTTGTCTCTTGTTAAGACCTTAGTTAAGAGCCTCAAGAGCCCTGTCCATCCAGCTTGACCTCAGGGCAAAAGATGTGAGACCAAATGCTGCCAATGTGTTGCCAGCCCCAGTAATGTAAAGGGTGATGGTGAATCTAGCGCACCACACAGTAGAGCGCCCCAGGCAAAGGCCATCCTTGTCCACCCAGGCATCGCCCTCCTCATCCTGCCTCTCGCTTCCCTCGCCATGGGAAAGAACAGAGCAGGAGGAGCAGAAAGAGATGAAGAACTCTCTAATTGGGGAAGCAGGAGCTACTGCTGACATGACAGCAAGGAGAAGGCAGTGAGACCTGGTGGGAGGCAGAAGCTCAAGGTGCTCCACCGAGGTTGCCTCTTGGCTCTCATGGGTTGCCTTGGGCTCCCCTCCTAGTTCAGGCAGATGTGATAAGATGATGATTCTTCATCTTATTCAAATCCAGCTTTCTTCCAGTTCAGCGAAATGGTGACAAAGCCTCTGACCCCTCAGCAACCTGCCCTCCCCCAGCCCCGCCAGGGAGGATTCAATTAGCATCAGGCAATTTAAACTGAATTAAAAGCACTGGCTCTGTCCTGGATTAACCTGGCCGGCATCGCAGTACACCCTCATTTTGCCTAATAGAGGTTTGCACAAAGATAAGCCCCCTAGAGCAGCATAAGAACCGGGCAAAGGCTGAAAAATAGACATAACATGAGTAAAAAATATGAATGGGAGCCAGTGGGGTCCGGGTCCCTCTGCCAGGGACGTGGTGCTTCTTCCAGCACAGAGCCCTCCCTCAGATGCAGGCACTCGGGCAGTGAGGACACCCGTCCAGAAGAAGGTCCCCAGCAGCCCTAGCTTAGAAAAGGGGGTGCAAGGAGTACGAGCCATTTGGGCCCGTTCTGTGCTGCTTCCCGGGGTGCAGGACATGAGGATCCACAGCCACTAACCCTGCCCACAGCCAGGGCCCAGCAGCGTCTCTGCTTGCCGTGGCACCTGACAGCTTCTTTTGCCACCTTCTGGGAAGCCCCACAGATTCCTTGGGTACCTTCTTGTTGCCAAAAAAGCTGGCTGGGGTAGTAGGTGGAAGAAGGGAGCTGGCAATCGTGGTGTTAATGAGCAGAAACGCTCTGATCGTCAGCTGGGAGACTGATGCGATCAAAGGGTGTAAAGGAAACAGAACAGAGCCGGGTTTATTAGAGCACGTTCCCTTTTCCAGCCACCTTATGCTAATGCACGCGGAGATCTGGCAGATAGGCATGGGGCGGGGGGGGGGAGGACTGTAAGAGGACACCAAGAGGCAGCTATTAAGGGAGGAAAAATGCACAGGTACCCAAGCTTGGGCACTGGGGCGGCTTTTATTACACACAGAGACGCTGGCAGAACATCAAGCTGCTACTCCAGCACGTCTGTGGTTTTATACCTGGGGGTATAAAATCATATATAGGCAGGGGGGGCCTGCGTGGCTGTGACGGGCTCTGAGCAGCGTGCAAGGAGCAGGCACACAAATGGTGCACTTTATCTAAAGCACTATGTACATCCCTATGTATGTATATGTATCCATCGCTCTGTGACACCTGTGCCCTCCTGGCAAGAGCCACAAGAACCCTCTGCATCCAGCTGGGGCTCAGGGCAAAAGATGTGGGACCAAATGCTACAAATGTGTTGCCAGCCCCAGGAATGGAAAGGGAATCAGCGGTGAATCCTGCAGCAGGGAGAGTCAGTCTCCAGGGGGAAATCCCACATACCAGGGATGACTCCAAAGTGTTTCCCCAGGAATCACAGGCCAATTTGGTCTAAGGACAGTTAAAAGAAAAATAAAAGCAAACAAAAAAACCCCCACGTTTCCAGACAGCTTTGCCAGCTGCCAGGGATATCTCTCATAGCAGCACTGTGGTGCACCCTAACCATGTTCAAAGGTCCCACCACAAGAAGTCCTCGTGCAGGCACTGATTGATTTGTCCCTTTGGGACAAGTCAATCTTTTAGTGGGATGCTTGAGATTTCATCCTGGCGAAGGTATAAGGAGATTCCAGGTGCTCAGCTTATGTGGAGTTGGCTCCTCAGCTTTTCCAAACTCAAGTTTCAGAGCTTTTGAAGTGCTTTGACGTGAAGGACTTGGAAGAACAAGCTTGGTGGCTTTGTCTTGAATTTCCTTCAGACCGCACATAAGAGCAGTGGTGAATAACGTGGATCCTCATAGAACATGTTTTATCCTAAGTTTTTATCCTATTTCCCCTTGCTTTACTCGCCTGTTCGGTTCTACTCTCAGAGCAGTGCCTGCGTCTGCCTCAGTCTCCCCTTGGCTTCACATTTCTTATCAGAGAGGAGGAGACAAGCAGTGAATCAAGCCCTCCGCCTCCCACCAGGCAGTCAGCTCTTCCCAGGAATTTCTGCCTTTCTCCTTTGCAGCCAGGCCAGCAGCATTCACAGCCCCATCACATCTTGCTGTGGAAGAAAGAGGGGTATTTTAGGGGTATTTTGGGGGCTGGTGCAGAGCTTAAAATTGCCACATGATGCGACATAAGGGCAGTATGTGAATGAAAAAAGTGACTCAGGACACTTAACAGCCATGAGTGCAGAGGCCCCGGGATCCCCGTGCTTGTCAATGGCTTCTGGCAGGCCATAAAGCAAAGGTCACCTCAGCGGGGGCTAAGCGGTAGGCGCAGCTGGCTTGGTAGAAAAGGACGTCCTGAAATATCACCTGGGGCTGGGTGTGCCTAGGAGGAATGGATGGGAGGAGAAAGGTGCCCACAGGTTTTGACTGGGCCCTGAGCAAAGCCAAGGCGTTGGCCAGAGGTGCGGGGAGAAACCCCCAAGCCAGAGGCTCCTCCTGGCTGCCCTCKCCGTTGGGTGGAGGACCTGGGTGTGCAGGGAGGCTGCTTGTTGATCTGTAATCCCGACCTTTCTGCTTCTCTTCCAGCTGCCTGTCCTGTGAGGCGACATGAGTCTCAAGGGATCCCTCAGCAGCAATCCTGGCTCAGCAAAGTAAGGACCTYCCCGGCTCCCGTTGGCTCACAGTTGATGCACGTCACCCAGGGGCTGATGTCCCCCAAGTCCCTGGTGTTCCCTTGGCCCAACTTGAACACCTCATGGTGGCTTCCCCAATGAGCTGGAGCTCTCTGCCTCCCTCCTGCATGTCCCCCATCTCCAGAGAGCACGGGCTGTGCGTGCAAGCACTGTGAGCACCACCTGTGCTCGGGGGCCCATCACAACAGGGCAGAAAGGAGCCACTTGCCGCCCACTGACTCATTGCACCGTGCAAGGCAACCTGACCACAGGGCCTRAAACCCAGGGAGGCCACTTTGATCTTCCCCCAGCTGGCCTGGGCCAGAGAAAACACCATTATCTCCTGGCTGTGCACTCCTACGCGCCAGCTAAGCATGGACAGGGTGGGGTGGGATAGCATTACTGGGGAGGTTACACGTGCTTCTAGGCCTGCCATCCCACAACACATGATTATGTCCTTCTGTGTCTTGAAATGTTCTGTATCTGAGTGCCTGCCATCCAGGAGTAGGTTTCAGCTCCTTGAAGTGTGTAGGAGCAAGAGTAGGAGCATGTAGGAGCATCTAGGCACTCACACTGCCTTAGGTTCAGGTGGACTTGGGTATTATGTGGAGAGATCTCCATTTACCTAGGCTACTCCTAATAGCAGCCCATGTTTGTGGCTCACTGTGAGCCAGTGTCCTTAACCCAGCCCCTCTGGAAGCTCTGTTCTTYCAGGGGATGCTGCAAGTAAAGGTAACTCTGGTGAGAATGGGCCCAAGTGGTTCTGCCCTGTCCCCTGTTCCCATCTTTTGGGTTTGGTGACCTGCAGCCCATGCCTGGTCCCCCAAGGGAGAGCTGCAAGGATTCAGTGCTGACATCAGCAGGTGCCACCAAGGGATCAGGAGATGCTGGAAGGAAAGAGTCATASGGAATGACTCAATAGAAAATAAAATCCATGACCTCACTTTCTCCTCCTGCCCTCCCTTGTGACGGCATCAGCCAGACACACCTGAACCACATTTGTTTGATGTCCACTCTTGCTCAAAGCACCATGGGATCCATTCCTGACCTCTCCTGCCTGTTAGYGAGCTTGTCCATGTATGTGCCTTTTCTCACCATGTCTACAGCTTCAACCTATTATTTCCCACCTCAGGCAGATGGGTGAATTCCTCTCCTTCCTCATTGCAGGTGTCTTTCCCATTTTGGAAGCCTACCCCAGCACTTCTCTCACCTTCTAAACCAAGAGTTTGGTTTGAATGACAATGAGAGAGAGCCAATACATCCACCCCCTTGGGCAAAAGGCCTGCATGACTTTTAGATGAGGGTTGCCAAAAGACAAATTTGCTTTGCTATTGAGTTGCTGTGCTGTTGAGTAAGAAGCAAGACATGATTATGTCTTCTCCAAGAAAAAAAAAAAGAAAAATAAAAATAAAGGTGGGGGGAAAAGCTTCAGATGAGTGGGATGAGAAACTCTTCAGATGAGAAGCTCTTTAGCAGCTCAACAAGAGTTGACAATTGGGTGGATGCAAAAGCTCCTCTTCTCCAGACGTGGTGGCACAGAGCAGCTTTCCCCCATGTTATTCAATGTCTAAGAAGCCATAGTCACATTTCATGCTGTCACAGTAGCGTATGAGTTGCATCATGAAGGCAGATGTTGAAAGGAACCAGGGACTGAGAGTTTATTTGTACCTTMTTTTCATTTTTCACAGTGGCAGCATGGGCAAAGCAGATGGAGCCGCCAAGCTGAGCGCAAAGGATCTGTATGGTAAGTTGTGCCCACAACCACCATGGGCCCTTGGTGGAATTTGCCACATTGGTGCTGCCAGAGAAGAACTAGTTGATGGGCAATTCAAGGAACATCCTGTGCTTATTGGACATATCAATGTCTTCTCGCTTATCTTTAACAGCTCTTTCAGGCTATACCAATGTGCAGCATCTAGGTAAGCTGCTCATCTGTTGCAGCATTAGGTAGTTTTTCACGCTCTTCTCTAATTACAGCTGTGTAACAAAGCCCAGATCCACCCAGGCAAAATTCCCACACACTTCTAGGATTTCCTACTGCTGAGACATCTCCAGCCAGAGCCGTTAGGGAGTTGTAGGCACTACGACCCAGTCAAAACCATGTGGACCTGGGCCTCGGTGCTCAACAGTATGACTTGGCAGGGGAGCTAAAATGCATCTGTCCTCTTGCTTGCCACAGGCACAGCTGTGATTTTGTGATCAACCCCTGTTGAGCCCCCTTTCCTCTGGCTGCCCAGCTCCTCTCCTGTTATGTTAGCAAGATAACCCGATAAAGGACCTAACAAAGGAAAGATTGTCCTCAGCACGTTAATGATTATACTCTTTAACTACACAGTGAACCGTGAAAACTCAGGTGCCCTTTGGCTCTTTGGAAGCAGAGGGAATCTGTAGGATCGGTGCTTTTGCAGAGCTTGAGCTTCAGCTTGTCTAAAGCCCCACGGCTTCAGGAGAGCCAATGGATGACTCCATGAGAAGCAATAGGGAACACTTAGGTATCCATAACAGTTAATCCTCATCTTAGCAGCTCTCTTAGTGTGTCCCAGGTGAAGACCTGGCCCGTGTGGCATGCAGACGTGGGCTAAAAAAGTAAGAAGACAGGTGAGAAGTCCTCTCCCTCAGTCYGCCAGTAGAGAAGGGGATAGGGGTTTTCTCTGGGGAAATACTAGAAGCTTTCAAGGTACCCAAGCCTGCAAACTCCATGAGCCCTTGCTCCTTAGACTACAAGCCTCCAGTGAGTGGTATTTCATAATTCTCCATGCCTAGTGCATGTATGTAAACCAGAAAAGAGGAAAGCTGGGCTCTTCTTTCATAACTTTTCTTTCTGGCAGAAAAAAAAATCTTTCAAGAGCTGTCAATATGCTGGTTTGGGCTTTCATGGGGTGCAAAAAGTCTGCAATAGCCCCTTGTTGGAGAGCTCATACTTGCCAGAAATCTCCCTTTGCTGGTGCAAAGTGGTGGATGGTGCTTCGAAATTGCCCCTGGGTAGTGATGTGGCTACTGAATGTTCTTGACTAGAGTTTATTTTTGTAGGGTGGCCTGGGAGAGTGTCCCCCCAGCGACCTGTTTTGCCGTGGGTCCTGGTGGGCAAGCAGGTGGTGCATTTAGTGAATAAGACATTAAACCAACTAATTGTTGACCTAGATTAGCTGCAGATAAAGGATATATGTGAGAATAAAGATAGCAGAGGAATCTGGTGTTACTGGCAGGGCTATTTGTGGCCTCACTTCCACAGGATGGGCTAGCAAAAGGAAAAGGATAAGAAACTGCTTTAAAAACAAACACAGTTCCTCAAAGGAGTTAATATAAGGAGCCARCTTAGGTGAGACCCAACAGAGCAGAATCCAGTGACATATAAGAGCATTGTGATTGACCTGGAGCAGAGCAACAGCTTCAGGTTGTGCACCCCAAAAAAGAAGCCCAGATGGATGACAGAGGTTTATGCTGGTGGGGGATCTGGCTCTGTGGGGTGCAAGAACATAGCAATGAACTCATAGCACATGTCCTAGCTACTGGAGCCTGTACGTCCACACATGGTGCAGCCTCACAGCTGAGTATGGGTGAAGAAGGTGGCTGCTCTGGTGTCACATGTGGGATTTCCTTGATCTCTGCTGGAATTACCTTGATCTTCAGGCATATAAAATAATGTCATTGTGGTGAAAAAGAAGGGTACAGACTCCACACCAAGGAAATCTTCAGAGAAAGGAGCTTAAAGCCCTCAGATATCTTGAGTTTTGGTCAGAGTTGGGTACGTTTTCTAGGTGCTCTGCTGTCTGTTGAAAATGCCCCGGTGGCTGCAGGATGTCCCTCTGCCCTCCTTGCTTGGTCCCTTTGTGGTTTCGTTCACTGCCTGGGGTTCTCCCAGTATGAGACCGTGCCCAGAGCACCCAGATGGAAGAGGGAGATCCCAGTTATAAATTACCAGAGTATATGGTATGGACCAGTTGGTTGCCCTAAGGTTCCCATGAGAGATCTTTTTCTGGAGCTTGATTTTCCACCATTAGATCTCAAAAGGACATTGTAAGTGAGGCAAATGCTTCTTTGCTGCCTGTAATGCCAGGGACTGGCTCAAATCCCTTCTTTGGGAATATTCAAATCACACCTGGATGCCACCCTGTGCCGCATGCTCTAGGTGTCCCTGCTTGAGCAGGGGGGTTGGACTAGACAACCTCTGAAGGTCCCTTTCAACCCCAACCATCCTGTGAGTCTGTRAAAGCTTTGGTGCATATTTACCCTTACCTCATCCATTGATGAGCTAAGCAAAAACAGGAAAAAGAGCAGAACTAAGCAGGATTCAAGGAAACACTGGACACTGGATTTGCTAGAACAGTCCTACATTGTTGTATCTCTGGACAGTCAAAATGTGCTGGCTGTATCTGAATTAGCGCGGAGTGTGGGTGCGTATGTATATAGGTGCACACACATCTTTGTTCACCTATGTCTTAGTTACAGACCATACATGATCAGCATCCTCCTCAGCTTAAGGTAATAATGTAGGAGCAAGAGCAAATGGACGATGCCTCCTCTGCATGCAGGCACGGAGGGTGAAAGCACCGTCCCCAATGATCCTGAGGGGAAAGTTCTGGCTATCAGGAGTGCAGGATATTTACCCTTCTCCCCATTCCTTCATAGTGGAATGCTATTGCACTTGCTCAGCTCCCTGTTCTGGAAGAGTCCCTGGCTGCTTCAGGGACAGAGCCCCAGCTCCGTGGGCAGTGGGGAGAATGACTGGCACCTATCACATTGCCACCTTGCTCAATGCACAGCCACCCGCTGAATAAATGTTAATGCAAGCCATAAATAAATAACGCCCCTTCTCCTCTTACGGGCTTCTGTTCTGATCCTAGATGAAAGGCTRTGGGGGAGAAACCTTTGTGTCCCCAGCAGAAGCCAGGAGAAAGGCTAGAAAGGAAGAGTTTGCCTATTGCTTTCTTCAGCAAGCTCCCACTGGCCTCTTCTGCGGCAATGACTAGGTGGACTTCTCAACACGCTGGTCCTTTCTGTGGACAAATCTCTGAAGGATTTGTCACGGTAGCCATGGGGAGATGTGTAATAGTCGAAGGGAATTCAATGAGTATAGCAGGTTTCATGGTGGGCTGGGAGAAGGAGAGGGCTCTGCAGGGGTGTTGAGAGGGGCCTGGTTCTGTTTTTCTGCCCTGTCTGTCCCCGTGCAGCATCTGGCTGAGGGTTACACCTAACCCGCTCCTTGGGTATCTATGCTTATCCCACTCAGAGCAGTGTCACTTCAGGTGCTGGGACAAACACAGGAACAGCAGAAAGAGGCAGAGAGAGTTGGGCAGGTGCCTGGGCTCCACRGCCCAAGGGTGGCACGGGGGACGTGTGGAGGACACTACTCGGCTGCAGGCACACTATGGAGCTACAACCAGTTGCTTCCAACCTACCCGGCTTACTTTTTGGTACATTTAGCTTTGGGGAAAGACCAAAATTCACCAGTGAAGGGAAAGGCTGGAAAATGGATTTCACTGCTGGTAGCATTAGCACCAGGGAGCTGAAAAATCATCAGCCTGCCATGCACGATCGCTTGACCCTGCGTGCCTCTCGTAACCCAAGAAACACTTTGGAGCTGTAACAGGAGCTGTGGCTGGAGCACAAAGAGAGCAGCCRTTCCCACCGCAGCCTCGAGACAGGTATCGTCTGCTGGGGAGATGCAGACGGAGCGGGGCCCCTCGTGGGGCCTTCAACCCCTCATCATGTAAGGAGGCCTCTGAGATGAGACTCCAAAGACTCCTGCATGGTCCCCTGCATGGGACAGGAATCAGAGGTCAACAGCTGGAAGAAACCATCCAAGAATTAAATTTACTTTCCCTAACCTTGAAGGAAATCTAACAGAGAGCAGTATGAACAAACACAAAATCTTTCTCCTGCATCTTCTGATGTCCAGAGCCTTGGACTTGCTTGTGCCAATTCAGGAATGGCCCCAAGAGCAGAAAGACAGAAAAAAAAAATGACTTCAGACAGCCTTTCTTCTCATAAAGCTGCCCTGTGAACATGCATTTTCTATTGATGGCTTGGCATGACGCTCAACAAAAGGAGCATTAACAGTTCTTGCCTGCACAAAACAGGAGCTTATTAATTATTTGAGCCAAAGACCACRTGGCAGACACACGGTTATGGGTGGGAGCTCAGCAGTGCTGCTTCTTCCTCACGGCCCTCTAGAAGAGGACTTTGTACATGGACTTGGCCTCTACATGGACCGTGCACGGAAACCTGGCTGTTTGGCTTGGCCCAGATTTACATTAAGCTCTAGCTGCGCATGCTCCCCAAGCCGAACGAGAGAGATGCTATTTAGTCACAGGAACGTTTTCTTAAATGAAAGCTTGTTGAACAAATAGGCCTACATACACTGGGAACAAAAGCTGCATTATTTAATAGTGGAAAAGAAACCTACCACCATCAACAAAAAACAAACCTTTTCTTAGGAACTCTTTTTTTTTTTTTTTTAATTTTCCAGTAAAGCTGGTTCCTCAGCTCTTTATTTAAACCAAGATCCCTCAAATACTAAATACTAGCACCTTCTCCTCAAAAAAGTATTCTGGAGTTCAAAAATACTGCAAGTGGCTGTGAGGAATTCAGAAAAAAAAAGCATTTTGTGTTTTTTTTCGTGAAAAATAATTACTCATCTGGCTGGGGTTGTAAAGGAAAAGAGAATATGTAATCTGTGAGCTCCACTTGCGTTTTCTCAATGGTCTGATTATCTCCTGCGGAGCTGCTGCTGGGTTTTTGCCC